CCTATGATGTCAATTACAGGCCTCTCTCATCTTTTTAAGTGGGAGAACTTGCACAATTGGTGACTGACTAAATACTTATTTTCCCCACTGTAATTACATGTCCGTGTATTGTGGATATGAATGTAGGGTAAACATTTAATCCACTTTCTTTCATTGATTCTGACTCAACAACTTCTATGTTCAGTTTTTCATTGACTTTAACATGATATTAAACCTGTTTATTGGTAACATTCTGCATTAGGTAAATGCCGTCTCGCGTGGTTCATGAATTTGAGGAAATTGGTACTGGAAAGTCCTTGAAAGGTCCTTGAATTTGATGTTGACCAAGGTGTGGGAACACTGACTTGATAAGTTTCATGAGTAACGTTTTAGTTTGAGTTGAGATTAGCAAATCGTTGCATTCTGTTTTGATTTTCAATTTCCACAATGTCAAAGCAATAAACTAACTGAAAATAAGTTTCTTGCCGAATGGATATTTTTGTCATTTTATGAGCATAGGATCAAATCTGACTGTACACAGAAAGGTCTTTTTYTTACAAATTATTTGTTAGCCTTTTTTTAAATTAAATAGCTACAGTGCTTCAATCACTTCCATGCAGCTTTCATCACTTACTCTAACTTCTTTTTTCTTCCAGGGGCATTTCCTGCCTCTTTCACCTACGCACGTAAAGACAAACTTCAGCGCTCGGCACACGTGGCGACGAAAACCTTCCAAGCTCTGAGGATCTTCGTGAACGACGAGCTGAACGAGCTCCACGCGGGGCTGCGCGCTGCCCAGGAGGTGCTGAAACCCGGCGGACGTCTCTGCGTGATCACTTTTCATTCGCTGGAGGACAGGCTGGTCAAACGGTTCCTGAAGGGATGTGACTTGTCCCATCTGGATCAGGACCTCTTTAGCCCCAAGACAAAGCGCAGCTGGAAGGCAAGTCTGGAGGAAGAGAAGCAAGAATGTAAAAGTGCCTACTGGCTTCCCGTGCGAAAGAAAGTGATCAAACCTGAGAAGATCGATGTGCGTGAGAATCCTCGAGGACGCTCCGCCAAACTTCGGACAGCTCTCCGGATCTAARTGCAACTTTAAATATTACCTTAACCACACAAATATGAACTTATTAAATCATATCAGCAGGGATTCTGAGGAGTCTTTCAACCGTGGTGCTGAAATTAGTGACTCCTATTTATTTATTGATGATGATCTAATTGGAAAATGAATCATAGCTTCCCAAGATTTATACTTTTTCATAAAGAAAACAAGGACTTTTGCCTCTTAAAGTCATCGTCACAGTCTGTAAAACAAGAAACTTTTATATGTTACTAAATAAACTTAAAATGTCCAAAACAACATTTCAGTCAAAACAAATTATTGTCTTTTAATTGACTTGGCTGGTAAAAATATTAACAAGGACATTATAAAACTCTGTTATATTCCAACAATAAATCACTTTATTTAAGACAAGAAACAAGCTTTAAAATCAGAATTGTTATATTTTCTTTAACCACATGATGAGCGAGAAAACAAGCTTCACACTCAAGGTAAACAAAACGAGGTTTTACCTGCAGTAATAAGAGCTGCATGTCACTGGGAAGCTCCAGAAAACAGGACGTGTTTTTAGAAGCYCCTACTTAATTTACCAGGAATCACACTGACAACATTTCTGGGATGCAAAGAAAGAAAAAAAGTTTATCCCATTTCAGTGAAGTCAGATGATTTTTGGATGAAGCCCCAACAACGCAGCGTGTAATCAGTCCTGTCTGCTCCGGGTTTCTTCTGAGAAACAACTTGATCCTTTTAAGTGGACTGAAACACCTCACTGACTCTGTCCACCTCAGGAGGGACGTGTTGCGTTAGTGCTTATTTCAGGGTTTCAAAAAGCAGAGTTGTAAAGTAACTAAGTACAAATACTTTGTTACTGTACTTAAGTAGAGTTTTTGGGTATCTGTACTTTACTTGAGTAATTTATTTACAGCCTACCTTTTACTTCTATTTCTTACGTTTTTAAAAAAAGGCAAGAAGTAGAAAGTCGTTCCTTTTATTTCATTCTTGCTTGTTTTCATTCCAGCTTATTGTAAAAAATAAATACTATCCATATAAACTGTGCCTCCTAGATAGAGTGAATTTAATTGTGGTTGAATGAGAAGTATAAATATGTCAAATTCTGATACCGTATTAGTTTGTACACAAACAAATCATGTCACACTCCAGCAGGACATAATCATTCAAATAAAAGGACTGTACTTAAGAAGTATTTGTATTTCATGAATTATATTATTGCATTTGGCCGCAGCCCTCAGATAGATTTTCATTTTGGGGTAAATGTTTGGGAAGCCTTAATATATGTATATAAACTGAAACAGCTAGACTAGTCCTAAATTTAACATAAATTAATTATTTTAATATGATACAGTCATTTCTGCTTTTTTGGGGGGGAGGTCACCTCCTAATAAATGTCATTACAGAAACTCTAACTGCTCATTTTAAATCAATACTTTTACTTTTAAAACTTAAGTACAAAAAATACACCCACTTCGGATGTTATCCATTAAATGGACGTTATTAGTCCCACAGAATGGCTTCAGACTGTCAGCTGGTTAATATGAGGCATAAAGCCACTAAGGTTAATTAGAGAAAATGACATGGGCTACGATAAAGTAGACCAGACTCCGGCGGTAGCAGATTGTTGCATTCCAACGTATATGGCACTGGTTCCCCACTAGGAGGCACTGTCGGGACAGTCTGAAGCCATTCTATGGAACTGATAACCACTAATAATGTCCATTTAATGGACTGATAACATCCGAACTGGCTGAAAAATATCAGTTACTTTAATACTTTTACTCAAGTAATATTCCTAAAGGAGACTTTAACTTTTACCAAAGTAATATTTCGGTAAGATATTTGTACGTTTACTCAAGTATCACTGTGGTACTTTATACAACACTGTCAAAAAGCAAACAAACATTTTCTCAGTGAGGACTCTTAAGGCGATGTTGCATATCTTACTCCAGAAAATCATCCCCAGAGGGATGTCAGGATTTACCCCCCCTGGACCTGTTTCCCCTGTGACCCAACCACAGATAGGTGACAAAAAAATAAAAATAAAAATAAAAATAAATGGATGAATGAAAGTAAAAAAAAAAAAAAACCAAAGACCAGCAACAAGAAGCAGCACGACTGCATCAATGTGAGGGAAGCAATTCAATGAACAGCAGGTGAATGACGATCAGCAGCAAAGTTCAGGAGAAAATGTGACTGAAGTAAAGCAGAGAGAGAAAAAAAACTATGACTAAACTCTATCTTTTTATTCAAAAATACTTTGGACCTGAATATAAATCTGCTTCTTTTTCTTTCATTYAATCTTTGCCGTTCAGTAGCCGAACATATAAAACCAATAAAAATATACTTTTTGTTTTCATTGATGTCTGTATTTTCCCTGAACCTCCCTTGATGAGTAGATCAAGTGCAACCTCTACTGCGCCGTATGAATCAGTAATGCCACTAAATACTGAATGACGCAAGTGTCAGAAGTGCTGCTGAATGAACCGGGTGGTTGTTCTTGAGCATTCTCTCACCTTCAGCTGTAAGCAGAAGAGGTGTTTTGATCTTTACTATTTAACTTTGACTAATTGTAATTGCTCCTTCAAGATTATTAACAGTTATTTTTTTCTTCTTTCTCAGTTAAGACTTCTCTAAATATACCCCTCGTTGCCTTGGAAACTAAGTGGTGCAAGTAACACTCAAGTGTATCTAAATTTATACAGTATGTTGTTTTAATATTGTTTGAAAATCAGCCATATTGTGAGTTTAAACGTCTCCTTGTGACAGTGAATTTGAAACTTTGGTTTCTGCTGACAAAATGTCACGACTTTTGATCTTTTTTTTTTATTATTATTGCAAAATAAAAAAAACCTTCAGGAACAAAATACTAAGATAATTCATAATTTGCTTCCAACCCAGAGAGGGCAGTCCACCTATTTTCATCTCAGGACCTCAGAATGGGAGCTCAGGAATAAATAACGTGGCAATATAATAAAACCAAAAATATAATGCATGAGAGCAACAAGCAAGGAGTAAATATAAATTGCAGTGGTGGGCACAGTTCCCCTAAAGCACTAATAGGGGAACTAATTTCCCGATTAGTGCTTTAGGGCTTTTGCTAATTTTTAAATTTATTAGTGGATTAGCACTTGCTAAATTTAGAAGCACTAACTGAGGTCTATAAATGTTATTGATCAATGTTATTGTAAAGAGCTGAGGGTGAAATCTGTCACARATTTTGTTCATATGTGTCACTTATCCATCAGGTGATTGTAGGTATTGACAATATATGAACTCAAATACAGCTGTGGAATGTCAATATATGAAAATACCTATGAAATCATACAAATACATGAAAAGTTAAAGCAAAATTTGAGACATGTCATGCTTTTAAAATTCTTATTTCACATTTGGATCATTTAATTGGGGTCTATATAAAGTGGAAATGCAATGCTTTGGTCTAAATTCCTCCACAAGCCCCTCCCCTTCTCTTAGCTGTGCCTCGGATCAACTCATTTTGAGGCTGTCTCTTTAAATCCAAACGAGGAGCTTCACACCCCGCCCCCCTCCAGCTTCCAGACCGGTTCATTCTAGTTTGTTAGAGGGGTTTACAACGATATAGCTGTGCAGAAACTTTTTAGGCGAATGAAGACCACCAAATTGTAGTTGGGAAGTCCAGACCTTATTTAGAAGTTGTGTCATAAATGATATGATGTAATAGTAGACCTGTCACAAAAACAAATTTTACTGGGCGATAAATTGTCTCAGAAATTATTGTAATAAATGATAAGATTGTTGGAGACCAGGTTAAACTAATATAATGATATAACAACCCCGATTTATGGAAGTTTACATTAAAATTTACATAGTGTAAAAAGAAAAAACAACTATCGGCAATCCCAATGCATCACCAGCTGTATGAAGGCGTCATAAATGCCTGTTCACAGGCTTTCATGCTACAAAGGTTAGGAGACCATGTACCTGGCAAATACCTGACACCTGAGTTCACTCCTCTCTACGCCAAGAAGTAAAAAAGAGGGAGATATGAAAAAAACAAACAAAAAGAAGGCAAATGAAAATGATTGTCTTCATTTAATTGATCTTCCTCAATTTAATTTATCATATGATTAATTGATTTATTGTTTATTGTGACAGGTAATAGTTCAAAAAAACATAACAGAACGGTAAAACAGGAACTTCAACAAATTATTATCTACGGCTGCAAATTCTCCATCACCATGGCAACACTATGGCTCATCATGTAACAGTAAACATAATGTAAGGTGATGCTATTATTACACAAATGAATCAATACATAAATTGACTCCGTGGTACATAATAGCTGCTGAGGTAGAATCACGTCTGTTGGACACCGTGAGCTCGTTCTGTTCACAAACCTGCGAACAAATGAAAAACGAACCAACATATGGGGGCGATGCTGTTATAGGTACAGATCATTTTAAATGTAGAGATTTGATTTARACACAAGGTGGAATCCATGATTGTGTTTTGTATTTTCAATGGATGAGAAGCTACAAATGAATAGTTTTTTATAGGAAAAAAATAAGGCTTTTAGATAAATTTGGTGTTGAAAATGATATTTTAAACCAACGACAGAGCAAGAAAATAATTACTGTATTTTTTTCATGTATAATACTAGAAAATTAACCCTAAAAATCATCCATATTATACACGGGTTATTGATAATTAGATTTTTTATGCTTTTTAAGCTCAAAAAATAATGATTGTATTATACTCGAGATCATATCACACATGAATAAATACAGTATCTCAAACTAAATTAAATTCTTTGATTTCTCACACAAAAACCTGTTCACACACTGGACTAGACCAGAGGTTTTCAAACTTTTTAGCTCTAACTCTTTACATATGCAAACATTGCTAATAATAAACCTAATGACTACAACACTACTTTTATTCATTTATGATTATTGTAATGTTTTGTTTTTTGCAATAATTGTGAAAATATGCAATTAGCACGATAATTTACATTTAAACTCATGTCTGGAGATCATCTGGGGACCCTCACTTGATGTTCCCTGACCAAAAAAAGGGGTCTCGCCCACAACTTTGGAACCACTGGGGATGACTCTCAGCTACTACCACAGTTTTATCTCAGAATCTGTAAAACTGAGTCAGAGCCATGTTTGTGTTTGCTAAGGATGATTTGTATCAGTGGGTTTTTTGTCTTCTCATTAAAAATTTGTGAAGAAAAAATGAGAAGAAACAAGAAGCTAAATTTAAAATGAAAGGAAACAAGTTGTTTTTCTCCGAGGCCAAAGGATGA